ATCACATCAATAAACTTATCTTCTTATTCAACCACACATATCCCATCATATCACTATTCAAAATCAATTCTTCCCCCAAAAAATCCCTACCAAACACACACTTAAAATACAATTTCAAAAATATATAAAAAATAAAATTAAAAGATGTTGGACGAGTTTGGAAAATTTGTATTTCATCGCTACTTTGTCAAATGTATAAAGGTACATAAGGTCCTAATTAAATTAAGTAGTTGTTACTCTCTTTTCAAGCTTTCGAGATTCTCACCAATATGAAACAAATATGTCGAGCCAACTACAAATTCCAGTCACGTGGACTACGTGACTGGAATTTGATATTCCATATGTGATATTCCATGGGGTCTAGTTACCGTGTGCAAGTTGATATCAAACATGTCAATTCACCTAATGTGACATATTACGTTTCACCACTCTTAATTTCTATATGTCTGCATTCAAATCATCTATGTTTAGCCAAAGTGCATCAACTCCAACTTTTCCACATCTATTCTGCTAGTTGCCCACTTTTGACCTGATTTCAGTACAACCATAATATAGAAAGATGACTAAGAACAATATTGACAAAAAGGGGCAAAAAGGGGAGATAATTTTCTATTCTCAAATTGACTTAAAGAAGTCATAACAAATGTATTGAGTCTGTTTGGCAATACACTGTAGTTGAAGTGAAGGAAATAAGAATGAATAAATCAATGAACTACAAAAATATGTATCTATGCTCTGTTGGTGTTTGTCTGCTGTTTTATCAACACAATATTTTCACCTTCCCGCGTTTCAACGGCTGATATCTCATCCTTTGTACATCGAAGCCACAGCTTAATTATAAAGAATTGTGTATCACAGCACCCTTGTAATCCTTATTCTGCTAAAGTTCTGAAGGCTGATGATCAAGTGTTGTGCAATACTCTAGACTACAGCAGTACGGTTGCATCGCGTGCTGTATGGTTCGTTTTCTTGACTTCCGAACTGAAAAAGATAAACCTATCTTTCTGAAGCGACTACTGGATTAGGTCTCTGATTCAGTCGCTTGCGCTTTCTTTTCTCCATAGAACTATTGCAAATGCAACCGGGAAAAGGGTTCGCATAAAAGTTCTCCTCGAGTCTTGGTGTGTCACGGGCTTGTCTAAGGTACGGTGCTCCGATTCTGTTGGAGTGTATGCTCTTGATCTCAGACGTGAAATTGTCCCAAGAAATAGCACCTTTATCCAACTTATCTACTAGTCTAACAACATTGAACCTGAAAAGGAACAAAATCGATTTAGATTCGACAGAAAAATAGCAACGAATTGAAGGAGTGTCAGAAAAGATATACGCTAAACCTGTCCGGGTTTATAGTCCTACGAAATCCTTCGAAACTTCTATGCCCCTGTAGAGCCTTGGCCATATTCCCATCGTATGTGAAAACAAACGCGTCACTGTCTAAGGCTACAAGATAATCTAAGGCAGCGAGTCGGTTCTGATAATTCTTGAAGGGTTCCAACTCGTCCGCTGTTGCAAGTGTAGAGTGAGTGAAAACATTAGGGTACTCGGATCGGAATGCGTCCATGCTATTTTTACCGAAAATTTCCCCTGCAACTATGTATATTCGCGTCGAGGATGGATATCCCATAGCCTTAAGAAATAGGGCCGCTTCCCGTGGAGAAAGAGGGCAGCCCCCTTGCCGTCGCCTTTCTTTGCTGTCAATCTCTTTTTCTTTCCAGTGCTTAACACTATACCTCATGCCACTAAGTTCCTCAGCCTCGGCTGCAGTCAAATTGTAGCTGCAACCGGTGAATGCAAGCATGTCTTTCTCATACCTAGTAAAATAGAAAATTAGTGACTTCAAAAAGGATTTAGTAGATGCACAACAAACAAACAAAAAACCCGAAAACAACTACAATCTTATGCGATTATTACCTTAAGTGAAGAGCAATATATGGTTCGCCATCTTTCCCAAGTCTATCAACAAACTTCTTTCCGAGCTCTTCAATCTCTGTTGTGTAGCGGAGCGCCTTGTAATTTGCACGACACCTGAGCCTCTGGATAGAAGGCGGGAGACCATTATTAGCAAGTCGTGAATCCGTATGAGTAAACTTGATCACCTTGTGCTTTTTTAACAAACCAAGAACATGTTCTTTGTAGTAACTAGCCTGTAAATAAAGCATCAAGATCAGTTCCAAGTCGAGTAGAACTAAAGTAACTAGTCATATATGATAATTCTTATTGTCTTCAAACCTTTGACCAAGAGACGGGAGCCTTGAGATAGGGATTCGATGTGACATACTTTAACGGCAAAGATTCAACTATCTCGATATCATCTTTTAAAACTTCAATGAAATGCCTCCAGTCAAAAATATCTTTAAATTCACTGCAAAAATACTACAAGCTAAGGAGAGACAGAAATTAAGAATAAGAGATGGTCTCCCATCAACCACATTACTGACGACATATACCTAGGATCGCTCCAAAAGGACACGTGATCAAGGGAAGGAAGTACGAGGGTTGCATTCATAAGCTTTGCAACAGCAACCATATCGCATATCTGAAATTAATTTCAACGTAGATTGAGCGTTTGAATAGCTAAAATCAGAAAAAAAATACTCGAACAAGTATAGCAGTGAACTTACTCCTGTTCTCATTTGATTGAGTCCCCCATTCGCATGAACTAGAATATAACCATTTGTAGTCGAGCCTGTCCCTGAAAGAAATTAAAAAATTAATGTATATCAAACAAAAATATCTTCTTGCAGCAATTCTTGATAGGTAAACTTTGACATACTAATGCGATTCTTTGGTCGAGTAATGCATTGGTAAAATTTATCACTGTTTGGTTTCATCCAAATATCAGGGACCTGTCAAAAAGAAGCTTCTTTGTTATTGTAAGCAGATCTAAATCTCAACAGACTAAATTAAAAAAGCAGAAAGAAGTTCTTATAACTTCAATTTGCATTCGATGGACAATAATCTGAATCGGAAAACAAAAAAACGTTTTTTTTCCGTGTATATTTGTAGTCTGTGTTCCTATTTTCCATTCTTTTACTAACAGGGCTCGGCCGATTTACAGTCTTCGGACAGCTAATTCTCCTTATAGAATGAGAAAAACATGTACTGATCAGTTTAAGAAAAGTCCGAGGACAAAATATCAAAAAAAGAATGTCAAAACGAGAAGAAATCAATTGAACAAAGGTATGAAATAGCACAAGGGTCAATTAGTAATTTGGGTCAAAGGAAACTGAAGAAATTTCAAGTCTCAATTTGTAGCAGCCCCTTGAATTCTATTTTTCAAAACACCAGCCAATGACCTAACACAAAAAATCCCTGTGAAATAGAGTTATAAATTTATATATTCAATTTCCATCAATATACGAGGGAGAGAAAAATTCAAGAAAAAATATGGCATCTGGGAAAATAAAAAACGCAAAATTCAATCTGAGTCATCAGAAAATAGAAAAACTTGACATCATTGAAGCCATTAATCAACTTTAGAAAAAATAGATTTAAAATACTTTGTAAATTCTTTGTAATCAATGATTAAACAACCAAATAAATGGAACGAAATAAATAAAGAAAGAAGAATAAATAATTGGGTTATAATTACCGGAAATTCCCTCATCTGCCGTTTCTTCACAGCAGAACCCGAAGATGTTTCAGAATCAAACGTGACCCTCTGAACATTTGATAAATCATTCTTGAAATTCTGAATAATCAGAATCTCATTGTCTCTTCTCATCATTTTTCCGGCGACTCCGATCACGAAATGGAGCTTCAAGAACGCCCATAATACCAAAAGCATCAAGAGCAACCCCAATACCAAACGTCCCATATTCTTCCTTGGACCCAAGGAATGCATAGATTCATCCACGCTGGAAACCTTCTCCGGCACCCTTTTACGTTTCAATAAGTACTGATAACTTACACCGTCGCTTTTACTCAATGTTTCTGAATCTATATCGTCTGCAGAATTACATAAAGCAATTTGAATTTGATCATATGATTTCTCCATGTCATTCATGGCATCGACTACACGGCGTCGGTGAGTACTGTTACCCTGTAAGGGGTTTCCGGTGGTGACACTGCTTGGCATTGCCGGGTGAACACGTAAAGATTTTTTTTTTCCTTAAAAGAAGTCAAAAAAGTTCAAAAGAAACGGAGACAATTATGGAAAAAAGAAGGAGAAAATGGGCATGAAAACGCTGACGGAGGTTTTAATCACGTTCTGAACCTTTGCTTTGTTCTGACATGTATTATATGTACGGTGAAGTCTGACTGAACAAGAATTTCTGTTCTTTTTGTGTTTTCTCACAATCGAGAAAAGTAGTTTTCTCCGGTTCCTGGAAGAAGGGGGCCCGGCGGGGCTGGGGTTGAGAGGGTCACGTGGACTTCGATACTTAGCCTCTTGTTTTGGTACTTTGGTTTCATTATACTCGTGTTCTTGCAAATATATATAAGTGGGGCAGACAATGGGATCCTATACCAATGGAAAGAACTTCAATTTTAGTAATCTATGCCAAATTCTTCTCCCCTTTATGGTATCTGTAATTTAGTTTAAAATTTACTTTCTTTACCTTTTTATGAATTCACTCAAATTTACATACGAATTAAATTCAATTAATCTTGAAATGACGAAAGATCTTTTAAATGGATAGTCGACAGATATTCTACTAACAAGATTTGACACATCAGCAAGATGGAACATCGTAAAGTTTTCTTGATTATATCATTTCAAGACAATATGACAGAATTATAGTTATTTGCAAGGCACAAAATACGTTAAAACTTTGATACACAAGAAACACGATAACGACACAACTAATCAAAACTTCTCTAATTAGCACTTGGTTTAACCACTATTGCTTACCAACTAAAAGCTATCTCATTCCCCATATTATTCAATTGACCACCATTCTCAAGGTTGTTATATTTCATTTGGAGTAATTATACTTTTGCATTAGTTCGTTTAAGTAATTGTCTTCGATTTTTTTAATAAAGTGACTATACTTTAATATAATTTTAATCAGGTAACTACAATTTAACTTAATTTAATGCATCTGGGTTCAATTCGACTAACAAGAATCACTATCGTGGTTGTCAATAAATAATTGTTATCACATGTAATAGTTAGTTCCGACATGAGATAATTACAATTTTATTTATATAAATGACAGGGTTATTGACCATTGTATAATTGGGTGCTGCAAATAGAATACTCGATATAAATCAAATTAAAATATATTTATTTGAGTGAGCATAATTAAAGTATTTGAATTAGAATAAAATTATTTTATAGCGAATGAAATTAACCCATAAAAAAATTAAGACTTAGGACAGAACTCTTCAAAACTAATTTGTCAATGTATTCTTCTATAAATTCTAACTTGATAATAAACCAAGTTTTGACGATTTCAAGACATGAGTTGTACCTTGTTCCAAATGGACCATGATTAGACTTTGGGACCGCGTGAAAGATTTGTACGTTGACGGCCACCTCCTAGGCTTGATTTGACATCAAACGAATCACCGCCGGTGCAAAGTGCTAATCTACCTTACATTTCATTGTTTTTTTCCCATTAACTAGCCACGCGTCACTACCTCTTTGTTTACTACCTACCCGACAACTTATTCCGCGTATTGAATTCTTAATTTTTCCATTTCCTCGTTACGGTCGAGTGCCGCATTGTTATTTTCAAACGCGCACTTGATGGACTGGCTGGCACGATGTTGAAACTCCACTTACGCAACGGTTAACCAGTACAATGACCCACGTTTTAGAATGATATCTTTGTTGTGCCCATGATTATCCTCTCAAGGGATTGCAACGATCATCTACCATTTATTTTGTTTTAGGATAGATTTGATAGCCTTTATTTTTCTTCAAAAAATATTTTTTTCACCTAAATTCCTACTTTTAAAGTATTTGATCGATATCTTTTTCATGAAAACTATTTTTCAAAAGTAGATCACGTGACTATATTTTCCTCAAAACATTTTCTTTGATAAGATGCAGATTTTTATTTTTCGAGTAATTCACACACACTCTCTCTCATCTATCCACCAATAAAAGATGAACAAATATAATATTTTTTAATTTGAAAATTAAACCAATTAAGCACATTTAATTATTAATTTTCATGCAAATAAGGTATAGACAATTCAATTGTCTAAAATTTATTTTCTTTCTATGTAAATTTCAAAATTACAATTAAACATATCCTTGATGAATTAGGGCTATATATGGAATATGAGCAGAGGTGTAGGGGGAGGGGTGCTGGATGGGCTATAGCCCAGCCCAAAGGCCAGAAGCAATAATTTTTTTTTAATTTTCAAATTAATAATTCAAAATAAATCTATCTTTGTTAATTACATTCATTATTCTACAATTAGTCTCGATACTTCAAAATTAAAAATCAATATGTTAAATAATTTACTTTGTTAAATTAAAATAGTTTAAATTTTTAGAAAATGATATCTAGCATTAATATATTA